TCTTCACTAACTCGAACTAAATTTCCTTTTCCTTGATTAAAACTTTACTGAAATTTACCCTGATAACTAAAATTCCCCTCTAACTCAAACTGCTTTTCGTTTCCCTTCAGAGTTCGAGTTACCTGGACGTTACCGTGAACTGCTGGCCTCTAGCTTATGCATCAGTCAATTCCAGCTGCCCTGGGGACGAAAAAAGAGAGCAAATGCCTTGTCCTCCGTTAAACTGCAACATTTTTCACTGATCGCACAGTCGAATTGCGAATAGTACCATTTTAAGCAGTTTATAAGTGCGATTTTTTGTTTCAAGTAATGTCTTCCTTAAATTAGTTTGTAATAGTGCTAGGATTCTTGAGGCCGCGACGACACCAGTTTATGGTTTTAGTATTGTTATAAAATTATTGACATTAAAATAAATAGAGCAGTATAAAGTTATATGTTATGTCCAATAGTTTTATACTGTAAATAAGAAAGGATGTTATTCAAATACACGTAACATCAACAGAAATTTGATTCAATAGAGGCAACGAAGAAGTTCATGCATAAAATCGAGAAGATGCCTTTAAACCCTCTTCAATTTGTTCCTGTCCTTGATAGAGCCAATATGCTTGCTTTTCCAGTAAAATCCTCTGTGTAGTTATTTTCTGATAGGAAACCGCGTACGTTTCAAAAGCTTGTGTACAGCCCCAGGTTTGGCAAATGCCCGTCCCCCGAGACTGAAACGGCGGGCAAATGCCCCGCAGTAGCCCGTGGTGGGGAGGGGGTGGAGGGGTTGGGCGCAGCTGGAATTGACTGATGCATTACGGAAGAGGTTGGGCGTAGAGCTTCGACTGCATATAGAATGATAAAAAAATAAAATAAAATATTGAACCCTATTATCAGGGCAAGATTCGTCATTTGTTGGAGTCTCTCACAGGTCATTTCCCTTCTTTCGCCTTCGGGTTTTGCAAGTCGTATTTAGCTTAGCAGAGCCCAAGAATTAACAGTTTGTTAAGTCATTTCAGATGGTAGTATCGCCAAGAACAATTATCTGCTAAAAATCAAATCTAATTTAAAGGCACCACGTCAGAGGAGAAAGATTATTAGGAAAGCTTTAAAGCAGAAAAAATGTCATATAGTTTTATTAAGTAAACGTGTCGGCAAACTAGAGGATGTTTGTTTATAATCAGAATCAAAAAGCTTTTTTGTCTTCAAATCTTTTTGTCAGCAGATCTCATTTTTGCTACAAAATCAAGCGTTCTAAGATGATCGCCTCGTGCCTACCTTGGCCCGCGAGCAAAAGCGAAAATCAGAAACAAACAAAAGTAAGCAAATAACACTTGTTTTACAGGCTAGAACAAGAAGCATACAAAACTACACCCGTTTTTATAAATAACGAATTATCACCACTTTCGCAAAATGGCCAATTCAATATTAATTGAAGACCCTGGGGATTCCCTTACTTCTTTAGCCTAAAAGGTTAAGGGCCACTAAACAACATGAAGTCGGTTTTAAGGTTTTACTATAGTGAGTCTCAGACAGGGTCAACCAATTCACCATTTAGCCTCTTTAACGAGGTGATTTTTGGACGGGATGCCTTTTAAAGAGTGTGAAAGTTGGGACTACTTTTGTGCTATGACTAATCCTTTTGTAGAATTACCTGATATTCGTTTTAAAAATGCTTAGTTCTGTTTGCGAAACGAAATGAGTTAGGGTCATAAAATAATGTTTCTTTATCTTAAACAGGGTAGAGTCAGGTTGCTGTAAATATCAACTCTAATTACCACGAAACAAAACAAACAACGTTCGTCTTTTTCTTAGTATCTGTTGGTTGTCGCTAAAGGACACGCCATTTTGACGCCCGTCCTAAAACAGTCGGTGTATGGCTAAGGACTGTTGCGAGTTGCGGGAGCCAATCAAAACATGCGAAAATTGCTAGCCACTGAAAATGGCTAAACATCTACCTCTCCTCAGGGTCGATGTATAGCGCTAAAAAGACTCGGGCGACGCTCATTGCGTCGCGGTCATCTCCACCATTATTTACCGCCTCTTGGGAAGATAGTTGTGCACCAGTTCACTACGAAATAAAATAAAATGGTGTAAGTAGGTAAGTAAGTAACAGCTTCATTAAAGTGTCAATGTATTTAGTTTTCACAACTAATTGGGGACACAACAAAAAAGTTAAAATTATTTACAAATAAGAAAGAATGTAATACAATCAAAATATCATGATATCAAACTCCGCAGTCTCAATGGTACACCAACGTTTTGACTTGCTTTTATGGTAAAGTTACTGATATTGGTGAATTTAAGTGTATAAATTATATTTTTTTCCTTTCTGTAAACGGTATAGCGACATCAAACGTCTTCTAACGATTCAGTTTTGTTTTCGGCTTGACCTATTTCTAGGGTTGAAAGGTAACGACGTCGTCAAGCACTAAGGCAAACTACTTTTATCTCTATTCGTTTAGAACAGTTCAATTTACTTGTTATAGATATTTAAACTATAGTTTAGGGTTAGGTGGCCAACGAAATTCGGTGATTCTTACGCCTTCTCGTTAGTTGTGAAAGGTGGTTTGCATGCAGTTATCACTATAATTATACTGCAAGAAGCCTTGTTTTTTTTATAAGCCATGTTGTTTGATACTTAGGCTTAGTTCCTTTGTTTATTTTACGCGTATTTTTACTGGGCAAAGGCGGCTATTTACTATACCACAAGCGTTTTAGAATCATCCTCCTTGGGTTTCCTCCGACCCAGATTTAAAACCAGAGAAGCTCTTATAAATCGACGCGTGTAGCACCGAGTTGGCTATACTGATCATCTTATATCCAACAGTTAAAAAATAAATAAATAAATAAAAGCGCGAGTGGAATAATTGTTTTGTTAAAAACGCCAACAAAATTTCGAGAATTCTTCCCAACTTTATTAACATCCGATTTTCGGCTTGTTTTTAATTTTGAGCAGACAGCACAGTTACCATGTTTAGAAAGAATGGTACAATGGCTCATATACTGATGGCTAAGCCAATCAGAGCTCTAGAATTGCATTATCCAGTGATCCAGTTTGTTATACCTTGCTACTCTTTTATCATAGGTGCACTGTTTTTGGGATATTCTAACCGTTTATTAGTTGACCTCCGGCTGGAACATCAAGGAAACGTTTTTACGGTTAGAATGGTAGAACCGACTGCTCTCCAAGGATGATGTTGCTATCAGGCTAAGATAAAAAGTCAGTGTTTTCAAGAAAACCATCAAAAACACAGAAAATAAAGTCGTTACACTGATGGTATTTAAAAACGTACTCAGAAATAAAAGCCTTGCTGAAATAAAAGAAAACTGTACTCTCGACGGACGTTCGTACTGTGACGTCTTAACTTGCTATAACTTGCTGTATGGTATACCCGGTAGGCCTATCGAGTAATTTACAGCACCCCCTCCCCCCCTCCCCCCCTCCCCCCTCCCTTCCATTTGCTAAGGAAAGAAACCCTGGGGGAACTAAGTAACTCTATATTCATCTGATCAAAAACATTTTGGTATTTAACTTTTCTTAAAATATAAATAGTTCACATCATTGTCAGGGGCTTTTTATTTTTGCTTAAACGAACAGGTAAGTGTGCAAAAAGCTGTGTTGGATACATCAATATTGTAAGACTGCAAGGGAAATTCTCTGTTAGGAGATGACATAATGAGTTCAATCTCTCTGATCTTATTTGTTAGGGAAAAATAAGGAACCAGATTTTTACATAATGTAAGACGTTTTCTTTTATTGAAAGATTAACGCCACATTGAAGCAAACTGCACTGACATGAAAGAAATATAACAAAGACGCTATAAAAATGTAATGACGGGAAGGTTTGACAAGAATCTCAATGTTACGAGTAAAAACATTTCATTTTTTCCCGCTGTTTGAGAGATAATCTACAGTCTCAGACAAAAATAGTTGGAACACTTAGACCAAACGCTGTTTTTTTCTTTCTCGTGCTCCCCTTGTCCCTCTCAAAGTTGTTTATCGTGGTTCAGTCACCAAACCTTGTACACCAACATTGAGGGGACAAGGAGACACAAAAGTGTCCCAACAATTTCGACTGAGACTGTAGTATGCCAAAGGGCAAGGAAAGGGGATATGGGCGCATGGGAAGCACGAACGGCGCGCGAGGAAGGAGGAAGGGGGATGCGCCTCTCCTCCCTTCTCCCTCGCGCGCGGTCTCGTGCCTAAACTCACTTCCCTTCCCTTTCGAACCCTGGCACACAGGCTATAGATAATCAAGTTATCCTAAAATCGTATTCATTTTCCTTCCGATTTTAATAATGGTTTTGCCTCGAAGCATTTAGCTACAAAAAGAATCGTGCTTTGATTAAAGATTTAATTAAATCATTTCCCTCTTGCGATTTAATTAAAGATTTTCTAAAATATTTTGAAGGCAAAGATCACCTCTTCAGTAGTTTTTTTTTTGCGGTGAAAGATTATAATACGACCTTTAATTTGACATATCTATAGACAATCTGATTGTATACATGGTAAGCCAAAAGTAAGACTGGGTACTCCTGAAGTTGTAGTGATATATTTTGAATCCATAAAATATCACCTAAAAAGGCATAACCAATCAATCGCTACTCCTTAACAACCATTTTGTCTTGTTACGCAACGAGAAAGAGCGTCGCGTGACAAGACAAAACGGCTGCGTGGGGAACCAATTCCCTACGGGCTCAGCCGATTACTGTGTCGTCACGAAAGGTGCCTCCACACAAATTTAGGAGCTAAAAAGCGTGCGTGACATATCAAAGAACTGCTGCAAAAAAGTCATGAATAGGACTAACATGCCGACATAATAATACAAAATTTTGATACTGTTATTAGAGTTTACTATTGACAACCTAATACGACGAAAGTAGCCACAAGGGCTGAAAAGAAAATAATCAAATTAAAAAACAATACTTTCGCACCTTGCGCTTTACAGTCTATATTTGTAGAAAGCTATTCTAAGGAAATTAAAACAGCGCCAAAGTTAAAAAGACTCCCCTTATTAGGACTGAGGCCTAGATACTTCTTCAATCATTATCCGGGACACTGAGCTCCACCCAGTTGCAGCATCACCCAAGTTGTGGCCACTACTACACTGTCCTACCCATAATCCCACTCTTACAGCGCCTTGTGGGATGTTCTCACAGTACCCCTCAAATGACCGATGATGCAGCAGATTAGGGCTCCCAGATGACCAGCTGTTGAAAACAGCAGCCTCAATCGTCATTGGTCCACTGCATTCATTTCCATTGAACTTGAAATACCACCGATTACACTTAGCACCAGTTCCATAGACCCTCATGTTTCCCTGGAATGAGACTCTGAGCGCTGAATTAGACCGCAGTTTGTTAAACGCACAGTCCTGGAATAAAATCAAACAAATGAAACGTATTGTAGTAAGGCGAGCAACCTTGTGTAATGATTGATTCTAACAACTCCGGTCAATATTACTTCCTAATGTTAAAAACTCTATAATAGCTTAAATTTTTGTTGTCCTTATCCATATGGCCAGGAATAATTTTATCACGCATGATAGTTTTCTTTTTTTTTTTTGTTCAAAGAGAACCAAAGTAGAGGAGAATATAACTTATTAGTTATTTATGTAATGTGTTGCTTGGCAAACGGTGAGTGAGAGGGGAGACGTTCTTCTTTGAAAGATTTTAACTAAAAAAGGAATGAATTTTCTTAGGAGTGTGCTATGATTCTTATTCTATTTACCTTAATCTTTCCGTTATCAGTACTGCTGGTTGATTTCCACACACATTGTTTCCAGTTGGTTTGTGGTACTACACTTGCTTGACTTGCTTTGACGCTTTCTCCTTTCTCTCCTTTGTCTCCTTTTCTTCCTTGATTTCCCACAATGCCTTGCTCTCCTTTCATTCCCAGAAGTCCCTGTTGGCCTTTCATTCCCTGAAATCCTCGGGGTCCACTCTTTCCAGGGGGTCCTTCGCGCCCTCTGTCTCCTCTTGGACCTGGCATTCCATGTGATCCTTTATCACCAATTTGTCCTTTTACACCTTCTCTTCCCTGGGGTCCGTGTGGCCCAGGGACGCCCGGCACTCCCGGCACTCCAGGTATACCATTTGATCCTGGAATACCGGGGAAACCCAGCATAGATCGCTAAAGTTGGGGAAAAAAAGATGAATTGTAATTAGCCGAGACAAAGACGACGCGGGATCTTAGATAACTCGAGGTGGGGTACTCCTAGGAATTCTTGGTGGGGGATGTGCCACCCGGTCCTCAAAATCCTGACTCTATTTCAAACCAAATCACGTCATTTTTGACACGCGTATTCAGACTTGGCCTCTAAAATCCATACCAGTTTTCAGACCTTACCTCGAAGAAATTATGCTTGTCATAATTACTTAGATTAATTTAGAACAGCAACGAAAAAGAATTCGCATAATTATTGCTATTTCCTTCTCATTTGGAATTGAAACGATAAATACGTTCATACACGCCCGTAGCTCCCTCGCAAACAATGATTCCACACCAAAATGAACAAAGTCTATACCCGCCAACCGTCTCCCTTGTTTTCGAGGCACGGAATGGACCTTGGATATCATAATCCTTTTTATAGCGATATCTCGCCTCGAATGGACGAGGATGGAATCAGAGAAAATTAACAGCTAACAATGGACAGGCTTCAGGTTTTCGAGGAAAGATCACGCTGAAGCGAGGACTTTTAAATAAACTGCCATACACTTTTAACGGGTACTTTTTAGTAAATGAACATAACGACGTGAGAGTAATAAAACAGTTTCTGGGTGTACCTAATCTACGGCGTAGTACTCCTCTTTATATCTTTATGCATTTCTTACCTGGCATAAGTCTTTTAACTCTGTGGCGTTTTGTTGCTGAGGTGAGGTGGTTGTTACCAGTGAGCCGCCAAAAAGAGAGAGAGTCAGGAAAACAGCGAAATACTGAACCATGGCGGTGAGAATTGAACGAGAACACAGCGTTTACTGAAATCATTGCTACGTGCTCATCATTTTATAGAAAATATTTTAAGTAAATCCTCTGTTCCTGTGTATTGTTTGTTTGTTTTTGCTTGTTTGTTTTTCCTTTTATGGCTATTTGTTGGCTCTTCTTATTCTTTGTTTATAAGCCCGCTTCAAGATACTGAAACAGGGTCAAAAGATGAACATTCCAAAAATAAATGGCAGAATATAAATTTTTACAAAAGCAACAAAGTTTTATGCATGCTATCACGATTTTGTGTTTGTAACGGTACCCGATCCCTTTCCTTTTTAGTACGTCAAAAATAATCATGAATCTGCCTTCAGTCCAAGTTGGGGATGCTATGTCAGAAAAAGTAGAGACTCCATTAAGGTCCAGCTAAACAAGCCTTAACGTGTCTAGTGTTAGTGTGTCTATTTTTAAACTCTCACATACGTACAAACGTATGTAAATTTTCGCAACTCTTTGCAAGCTTAAGACGTATCACTTTCAAATTTGGCAATGTCACAGCCTTTGAAATTAAAATTAAAGTTAAAATTCATTGAATCAAATTAAACGCTACATGAAAATGACAAAAGACATTGTGTTGGTACTAGATATGTGAACGGTCCCTTACCATAAATTGTCGCATATAAGCCCTGGGATTATACATGTACATCTTCTTAATTGGTTTTAGGAAGACGTATAAACGGAGGGGCTTTTAATTTCCGAGGGGGCTTGTTGATGGCATAGAAAAACCGCTTGGAAATAAGTTGTAGCATTGCTGATCAAAATAGATGTTTTTGCATTTACTGCTCGTTAATTAAGGATTCAAAACGTCATTATAAATCGAATTCAATTCAGTTCAAGCTAGAGGGGAGCTAATTATACCCGGTGGGGATTATATTCGGATGTATTTTTTTTCGTTTACAGCCATGATATGGGCCCATAACTGAAGACGAAGACTTAAAAGTGCAATCATATAAGAGGATTATCTGCCTGACGCGAACTTTCCACCGAATAACCCGTCTCAGGCGGATAATCCGTCTCTTTTTTTAAGTATGGCCAATAGAAGGTGTACAAAAGGGTATGTTTTCTGTCAAAAATGTTAAGTGCAGGGTTAAGGGGTTAGTCCTTGGGGCGAAGCCTTCCCATATAAAACTGTGTTGAGTAGCCTCCCCGGCTATTACGATCTAGAGTCAGTCAAAAAGAGAGCGTATCATCCTCTGGCGGTTTTTATTTTTGCTGTAGCAGACGTTACATAATGTAGAACGTGAACCTACTTTTTCAAAATATACCTGCTTCAAAATACTGTTGCGAGACATTCATGTTAGAGGCAGCTTCATTCTCGCGAGATAACAAAATTGTGAGTCAAGTAGCACGTAAGATAATGGAGCTCATGCATAACATAATGAGGCTCGTGACATAATGAGGTTCCCTTTACCTTTTTAACGGCGGGGGAAGTTTTCCTTGTTGAAGAAAACTTGCTCCTGTAACTGGAAGGCTTTAAGGCGGTTTTCACGCTATGATTTTTCGAAAGAAAAACGAAAAGATATAAAATGGTCAAAAACCGGATAGATTAAAATGATCTGTTGCATCGCGATATATTTTCTTAGGAAATAGGGCACACAATCGCTGCCGGTAAACCAGCCTTAAAATGGCAAGACAAAAAATGAGAATGGATTAAAACCTTTTAATACAACTCCTTCCCATTTTCTACTCAACTAAGTCGTGAAATGCGAACACCTAAAAGACGACGTCTGTTTTTATAATACTTAAACCCAGTCTATCATTACCTTAAGGAATCTGGCTAAAAGTACTCACACACTGTAACAGCCGATTATAAGGTTCCCACCCCCCCCCGCCACTTATAAGCCCCCCTCCCCCAGTTATAGACCAATCTTTCGCTACATGCTATTAGACGTCTCCCCGAATATAAGCCCCTATCTAGCACTAATTATAAGCTCCCTGTGAGTTCTATTTGTTATCAATGACATTTTGAAGCTTAATATAAAACCAGTGAATGCAAAACGTATTTTGATCAGCCCTGCTATTGCGTGTTTCAAAACTCATTTTCTATTCCGATTTTAAGCCTCCTTGGATATAAGACCCTCGGAAGTTACAGGGGCCAATCAAAACACGCGAAGAGTAATGGAATTCTGTGATAGTTACGCCTTCTTGTTATTGTAAAAGGCGGTTTGCATGTAATGGCTACCATGTAATAAGTGTCTTTCTACTAAGATAAAAGCCTTGGGTTTATAAGCCACCTGGTTGAATACCTAGGCTCCCAGAGGGGGTTCTCCCTATAATGGCCTATACGGGGAGGCTCCGCCCAGAGGGGTACCTTTTTCAGGCTTCAGGTGTATGAAAGGGGAGAGATTTTACTCGCTGAAGTATATGAAAGGGTAGGGAAATCGGTCATTTGGGTCTGTTACAGGGCCCAAAGGCTAGGGCTAACAGATCAATTTTATGGCTTTATAAAGTCGAGAAAACGTTCTATTTTTGTGATTAATTCCCAGTCAAATGACAGTGCACTTACAGCAGTCAAAAGGAATGCAAAGTTCTAAACAGGGTATGTAAAAGGGGTACCATTTGTCAATTGAAGGCATACGAAAGGATTCCTTTTTCGTGAAAAATGGTATATAAAAGGGTAAGGGGTTGGACCTTAGGACCCGTATAAAAATTTGTTGAGTACCCCCCCCCCCCCCCCCCGCTCCCCCGGGCCTAGGCTACTTTCCTTTCTTTATTTTAGGTATATCATATATACTGGGCAAAGGCGACTATTTTATACCACAAAATATAGTGAATAGGTTTCCTCCGAGCCACAATAGATATACTGGATCAGAGGAGCTCCTATGGGGTCGGCGTAAGGTCAGCATTTGTTAAACGTTGGTACTCTTTTATCACAATTGCAATGTTTAGTGGCTATTCTAACCCTTCATTAGTTCACCTCTGGCTGAAACATCGAGGAAACGTTTTTTTCGGTTAGGATGAAAGAGAAGATTGCTCTCCAAGGGCGATGTTGTGCTCAGGTTTTGATAAAAGTGTAAGTACTTTCTAGGAAACCATCAAAAACATAAAAAAAAAAAAAAAGATAAAGTCGTGAAATATATGGTACACTTTATATAAAAACCTACAAAGCAAAAAAGGCCTTGCTAAATAAAAGAAAACTGTACTCTCTTTACGGAAGTTCTTAGTGAGACTAAGTTGCTCTATTTATATCTCCTACCGGGTATACCCATACGGTATTCCCTACCGGGGCATACAGCACTGGTTATTTAGGTAGCCAAATTATTGTGACGTGCTCCCCTCCCATTTTCTAAGTTAAGAGACCCTGATAACTGGGAACGTCTTTATTTATAAACGCACTCGTACTCCATCACGCGCGGTCTCGCGCCTAAATCTCCTTCCCTTCCCTTTTGAACGCGTGCCACGCATGAAAGAGATAATCAAGTTATACTAAAATCATATTCATCTTCCTAGCTAATTGGTATAAATTTTACAAGGTGCGATTTTAATCCTCGAAATCTAATCCGTTGTTAATACCTCACTTATATTAAAATTCGCTCAGTACTAGAATTCGCGCAGCGCTGGGAGTGCCAATTTTAGTATTGCGCGAATAATAATCCGTGCGAAAAGCTTTGTGGTGTAATATGAGACACTCATTGTTAGTAATGCAAATCAGTTGTTTTATTAACGCATATACACATTTGACATATGTTTTAAGTTGAATTTTGGTTACATTACATAATTTACATAATTTTGAAGGCATTTTTTGATGGCCACTTAATCGCTTTTTTACAAATATTGTAGTATTTGTTGATAAATGCGTTAATTGTTAATAGCTCTATTAAACAAACCAAAAAGAACGAACACGGAAAATTACTTGCGCGAATTTAAAGCTGCGCAAATAAGTCTTAACCAGAGGTGCGCGAAATTAAATCGTGCGAATTTAAGGCTAAGCGAACGAGTACAACGCGAATTTTAATACAAGTAAAGTAATGGTCTTCCCTCGTTTTCACTTCCGGATTTAATTAAAGATTTTCCAGTCGAAAATATTTTAAATGCAGAGGTTATCTCTTCAACACATTTTTTTTTCTTTTCACTGTGAAAGATTATATCACGACCTTTACTTTGACTACATATCTATAGACCAAGGAAACGACCGACAATCTGGTTGTATACATGGTAACCCAAGAGACAATTGGACGACCTCGTCCCCAGGACGCTTTTCCCTGTTCCCCTAATGCTGTAGTGATATATTTTGCATACAAAACATATCGCCTGCAAAAAGCATTGCCAATCAATCACTCTCAATCACAGCCAATTTTGTCTCGTCACGCAACGAAAAGGAGCAGTGTGTGACAAGACAAAACGGCTGGATGGGCCGGGAGACCAATTCCCTACTAGCTCAGCTGGTTATTGTGTCGTCACGAAAAGCGCCTCCCCACAAAGGAGTTAAAGAAGCGCTGCGTGACAATAAAAAGAGCTGCTGCACCGGACTAACATGCCGACATAACAATGCAAAGTCTTGACTCTTAAGAGTTTACAATTGATAATCTAATACGACAAATGTAGCCACAAAAAAGCTAAAAAAAAAAAGAAAAAGAAAGGAAATAACCAAAAAACAATTCTTTTGCACCTTACGCTTTACAGTGTATACTTGTAGAATGCAATTCTAAGGAAATTGAGACAGCGCCAAAGTTAAATACTCTCCTTATTAGGACTGGGGCCTAGATACTTCTTCAATTATTATCCGGGATACTGAACTCCAGCCAGTGTGAGCATCACCTAGGGCGTGCCCACTACTGCACTGTCCTACCCATAATTCCACTCTAACAGCGCCTTGTGGGATGTTTTCGCAGTACCCATCAATTGACCGATGATGCAGCAGATTAGGGTTCCCAGATGGCCAGTAGTTGTAAACAGCAGCCTCAATCGTCATTGGTCCACTGCATTCATTTCCATTGAACTTGAAATACCACCGGTTACACTTAGAACTAGTACCTAGGACCCCCATGTTTCCCTGGAGTGAGACTCTCAGCGCTGAATTAGACTGCAGTTTGTTAAACGCACAGTCCTGGAATAAAATCAAACAAATCAAACATATTGTAGCAAGGCGAGCAACCGTGTCGTAATGATTGATACTAACTACTCCAGTCAACATTACTTCCTAATTTTCAAAAACTCTGTAATAGCTTCAATTTGTGTTGTCCTTATCCATATGGCCAGGAATCATTTTATCACGCATGATTTTTTCCTTTTTTTTTTTCAAAAAAAACCAAAGTAGAGTGAAATGCAACTTAGTTATTTATGTAATGTGGTGGCAAACGGTGGGTGAGAGGGGAGACGTTCATCTTTGAATATTTTTAATTTAAAAAGGAATGAATTTTGTTAGGAGTGTGTCATGATTCTTATTCTAATTACCTTAATCTTTCCCTTAGCAGTAGTGCTGTATGAGTGAAATGTAACTTAGTTCTTCATGTAATGTGTTAGCAAACGGTGGGTGAGAGGGGAGACGTTCATCTTTAGTTTTTTTTTTTTTTTTTTTTTAAAAAAGAATGAATTTTCTTAGAAGTGTGTCATGATTCTTTTTCTAATTACCTTAATCTTTCCGTTATCAGTACCGCTGTCTGATTTCCACACACATTGTTTCCAGTTGGTTTGTGGTACTACACTTGCTTGACTTCCTTTGGCGCTTTCTCCTTTCTCTCCTTTGTCTCCTTTTCTCCCTGGATTTCCCACAATGCCTTGCTCTCCTTTCATTCCCAGGATTCCCGTTTGACCTTTTATTCCCTTGATTCCTCGGGGTCCACTCTTCCCAGGGGGTCCTTCGCGACCTCTGTCTCCTCTTGGACCCGACATTCCTTGTGATCCTTTATCACCAATTTCTCCCTTAGTACCATCCCTTCCCTGGGGTCCTTGAGGACCGGGAACGCCTGGCATTCCTGGCATGCCATTGGATCCTGGGATGCCCGGGAAACCCACTAGAGTTCGCTGAAAATAAAGATGATTTGTAGTTTAATGTGGAGACGAAGGAAATCTGAAAATTGGAAACTGAAAACTGAACGTTAAATACCAATTAGTTAATTAATAGGATAAGCAGGTAACAATGAAATAAGCAATTGTCAGATCATGCTGAAAAAGGACTTTTAAATAAATTGGAATGCAAAATGATATAGCGATGATAAAAGTACTAAAATATGTGGCTTTGATCTTCATGTATTTCTTACCTCACATAAATCCTTTACCTTTTCAGTGTTTTGTTGCTGAGGTGAGGTGGTTGTTCCCAGTGAACCGCCAGAAATACAGAGAATCAACAAAACAGCGAAATGCTGAACCATGATGAGAGCTGCACCAGAACACTGTGATTACTGAAATCAGTGCTACGTGCGCATCATTTAAGTAGTGCGGAATATATGAAAGTCAATCCTCTGTTCCTGTTCATTGTTTGCTTGGTTTTGCTTGTCTCCTTTTCCTTTTATGGTAATTATCTTGCAAAGTAAAACTCTACGTTTATTTGCCTGCGTGCAAGGAGAACTGAAACAGGGTCAGAAGATGAACACTCGAAACACAAATAACAGAAAAAAAAAAGTGTTTCCATAGTTACCCTTCCTGTTATTATGTGTTCATAACAGCAGCCTTTTACTTTCCTCTCTACCACGCCAAAAACTTTTAGGAGTTGGAAAAGCTACGCATTCAGTCCAAGTTAGTCACTGATAGGTGAGAAAAATTAGATCGATTTAGCTGCAGCTAAAAACGTCCGCAATTTCTCTAGCAATTGTTTGTACGGCTAACTCCCTTTATCTTATACCGACACGTACCGTCATGCATGAAACTGAACTGATTGGTTTAGTTTTAAGATGACCCCTTAAGATAAAAAACAAAAACAACAAAAAAAAGCGATTGTATGTGTATGTGTTGAATTTTGTGAAGACATCTCCTTCACCTCATGTGCATGTGATTAGGCTGTTGAGGCATGGTAGTTGTTTACCAAAAACTTCAAGCATATAAAAGTTTCTTTTGCCAAGCTCGGTGAAAGGTTCTGGTCAATAAAGCAACGTTAAAAATATTATAGTGATGCTGCCTTTTATTTCCTATTTCTTGCTATACAGTTTCTCGTTCAGGTAACCACAAACTTTGAGCTGTGACTTGTACACGTGATTTCTCCTTACCAGATCATGTTAAGTATAAAAATGGGTATTTTTTGTCAGTCCACATCCAGAAGAATAAGCGCAAGGCCCTTAATGAAAAAATGCTTTCGTGTCCGCATGTATAGAGTTCAAATATGGTGATATTTCAGTAGAAAGACTTATCTCTAATTTTGATGTATTTTAATTAAATGCAGCATTTATCATGTTAGGGTTCTCGTTAATCCATGGTTACTATATTACAGCTGAAAAGAAAAAAAAAAGGAAAACGTTTTTCATCACCTCCACACATGTTTAGGGAAGTCGTGAATTGAGGTCTTGTTTTCTCTGGAAACATCAAGTAATTAGGCAATCATAATAATCCGACTATGAAAATGCATCTCCGGTTAACTATAGTACTATAATTTATAATATTAGAGAAGTACTTTTTAGTATTAGAACCTTATTTTTCTTATTTTTCACTTTTAAAGACAACTCTCGATCAAAATTGTAAGACCAGTCTTAAGAATGCCGCGAAAAAAGCAGCATCTTTGTGAAGCAAGTTTTTAAGAGTAGACCTTGACCCTACTTTTTGGAATGGATACTTTATGCAAATTTGTCGCGAAACCATATGTTAGAGGCTGTTCATCTTTCTCCCTACACGATTGGAACAGATGTCAAGGATGGACACGAAATAAAACTTGAAAACATTGAACCAAGTTTAAACGTTCTACCTACTACAATCACCAAAACTATTATTATGGTTATTGCTCCTCGCGAAATTTGTTTGAAATCTCCTTTTTCATATCTCTTTTGAATCATTTTGTGTATTGGCACTCAGTAATTATGACTTCCGCTCAGAATTGACTCAAAACAACAATATCCTCGTGTCATGTCCCCTTTAACCCTTTAAGCCCCAACTTTATCCAAATAGAAATTCTCCAAACTGATCTCCATACGTTTCCTTCAAGAATTGGATCAGAGAATTTATTTGTAGATCAAAGCACTGCCCATCAGGTGATCATTTTATTTATTCTCACAGCAGTTTCTCTTGATTATGTATTGACTCTGTTAAGAGAAAATTGACTTTGGTCTCTCTTGGGACTTAAGGAGTAAAGCAACTACTGCAGAGGAAGTTTTCCATCTTGAAGAAACTTTTCTTAAACTGTAAGAAGAGGGCTTTATCCCATGATTTGTAGGAACGATCTCGAACCTCTTGAACGAAAAATAAAAAAGATAAAAACTAGCCTAAACCAGATAGATATTAAGAATCTGCTGCAAGATAATTGGAGCAATTTTTGCAATCACCAAGAATATGACTACGTTTACAAACTCTGGCTGTTTCGTAAGTAAGTGGGCGATTGATTTCTATAAGAATGCAAGATATTCAGCTTCCATTTCTCCAACTTAAGGCAAATAATTACAAAAGCTAAAAGGGAAGTTAATTTAAATGATCAAAAAATACCTCTGAACCGTGTGCTTTCAAATGTTACATTTTCTATATTTGCATATGCTCTTCGTAAGAAAGTTAGTGAAACAGCGCCAAAGAGTATTTTAGACTCCCTTTTAAGGACTGGGACCTAGATACTTCTTTAATCGTTATCCGGGACGCTGATTTCCAACCGGTGGCAGCGTCACCCAGGGTTTCGCCACTACACTGTCCTACCCATAATTCCATTTTAACTGCGCCTTGTGGGATATTTTCAAAGTACACCTAAAGTGACCGCTGACGATGCAGATTATGATCTTTCTCAGATTGCCAATAGTACATTGGATACTGAAATCAATATTGAGAGACTGTACGGGCAAATCTCTGTTAAGAAGCAGACATAATGAGTTCGATCTTATTTGTTAGGAAAAAAAATGGAAAAGAAACATGCGAGCTCTAAAGTTCAAAAGCCGCCTTCACAATTGCGTTTTTCGTTGCCGTCAATCATAATTACGATCACAAGCAACGAACCTTGAAACACAGAAACACACAAAACGGATCGAAATCCACCAATCACAAATCACAAACCTTGACCTTTTGAACCCGTTAAAGTAAAGTTTTGTTTCCTAAGAGGTCCGTTAAGATGATTGACGGCAGCGAAAAACGCAATCGTCAGTTGGCTTTTGAACTTCAGAATTCGCATGTTTGTGAAAAGCGCAGAAATCACACATTGAAGCAAACTACACTTAAATGCAAGAAATATAACAAAGATGCTATTTTTAAAGTAATGGGAAGGTTTGTTGACAAGAATCTCAATGTTACGACTAAAAACATATTCCTCTTTTTCCTCTGTGGAGGGGCATTCGAAAGGGAAGGGAAGAGACGTTTTAGGTGCCTGAGAAGCACTTAAGGGCGCACGAGAAAGGACGGAAAGGGGAAAGTGTTCCTCTCCTTCCATCTCCCTGGCGCGCGGTCTCGCACCTAAACCACCTTCCGTTTTCTTTTGAACGCCTGCCACACGTGCTAGAAATAATCAAGTTATCCTATAATCATATCCATCTTCCTAGCTAATTGATATCAATTTTACAAGGAGCGATTTTAATCCTTGAGTTCAAATCTGTTTTTAATAATGGCGGTTTGGCTACAAAAGGAATTGTGGCGTGTGATTTAATTAAGCGCGATTTCTTCCGGATTTGCTTAAAGATTTTCCAGACGAAAATATTTTAAATGCAAAGGTTACCTCTTCAGCAGATTTTTTTTTTTTTTTTCGTTGAGATGAAAGATTATATCACGACCTTTACTTTGACTATATATTTATAGACTTAGGAAAAGACCGACAATCTGATGGTACACATGGTAACCCAAGAGAGAATGGGTTCCCCTGAAGCTGTAGTGATATGTATTTTGCATCCATACCATATCACCTACAAAAAATATTGCCAATCAATCGCTCTTAATCACAGCCATTTTGTCTCGTCAAGCAACGAGAAGTAGCGGTGCGTGACAAAACAAAACAGCTGCATGAGAGACCAATTCCCTACGCGCTCAACCGGTTATTGTGTCGTCACGAGAAGTGCCTCCCCACAAAAAAAAACAAAACAAAACAAAACAAAAAAACAAAAAAGGCTAGAGGAGCGCTGCGTGACAAAACAAAGAGCTGCTGCACAGGAATAACATGCCGACATAGTAATACAAAATCTTGATACTGTTATTTATAGTTTATTATTGACAATCTGATACGACGAAAGTAGTTCACAAAGCGCTAAAACGAAAATATCCAAAAAGCAATCATTTCGCACCTTGCGCTTTACAGTCTATATTTGTAGAATGCTATCCTAAGGAAATTGACTCTGCGCCAAAGTTAAAAAGACTCCCCTTATTAGGACTGGGACCTAGATACTTCTTCAATCATTATCCGGGACACTGAATTCCACCCAGTTTCAGCATTACCCAAGGTGTAGCCGGTACACTTTCCTACCCATAGTTCCACTCTGTTTTCACAGTACCCCTCAAATGATCGATGATGCAGCAGATTAGGGTTCCCAGATGGCCAGTAGTTGTAAACAACAGCCTCAATCGTCATTGGTCCACTGCATTCATTTCCATTGAACTTGAAATACCACCGGTTACACTTATAATGACTAAAGACCCTCGTGTTGCCCTGGAATGAGACTCTGAGCGCTGAATTAGACTGCAGTTTGTTAAACGCACAGTCCTGGAATAAAATTAAACAAATCAAACATAATGTAATAAGGCGAGCAACCGTGTATAATACTAACTACTTCTGTCAAGATTACTTCCTTATGTTTAAAAACTCTGTAATCGCTTCATTTTTGTTGTCCTTATCCATATGACCAGGAATCATTTTATCACGCAGGTTGGTTTTCCTTTTTCTTTTTCTTCTTTCAAAAAGAACCAAAGTAGAGGGAAATGTAACTTAGTTATTAATGTAATGTTTGGCCAGCTGTGGGTGAGAGGGGAGACGTTCATCTTTGAATTTTTATTAATTTAAAAAAGAATGAATTTTCTTAGGATTGTGTCATGATTCTTATTCTAATTACCTTAATCTTTCCGTTATCAGTACTGCTGGTTGATTTCCACACACATTGTTTCCAGTTGGTTTGTGGTACTACACTTGCTTGACTTGCTTTGACGCTTTCTCCTTTCTTTCCTTTGTCTCCTTTTCTTCCTTGATTTCCCGCAATGCCTCGCTCTCCTTTGATACCCACAAGTCCCGGTTGACCTTTTATTCCCTTGATTCCTCGGGGTCCACTCTTCCCGGGGGGCGCTTCTCACCCTCTGTCTCCTCTTGGACCCGGCATTCCTTGTGATCCTTTATCACCAATTTCTCCCTTAGTACCGTCCCTTCCCTGGAGTCCTTGAGGACCGGGAACGCCTGGCATTCCCGGCATGCCATTGGATCCTGGGATGCCTGGGAAACCCACTAGAGATCGCTGAAAGTAAACATGATTTGTAGTTTAATGTAGAGACGAAGAAAACATGAAAATTGGAAACTGAAAACTGGACGTTGAATACCAGGACCCCAATTAGTTGTATGATAGGACGAGGGAACACAGTAATAAGTAATTGTCAGATCATGCTGAAAAAGGACTTTCAATAAATTGGAATGCATAATGCTATAGCGATGATAAAAGAAGTAAAATATAAGGTTTCGGATCTTCATGCTTTTCTTACCTCACATAAATCTTTTACTTTTTCAGTGTTTTGTTGCTGAGGTGAGGTGGTTGTTCTCAGTGAACCGCCAGAAATACAGAGAATCAACAAAACAGCGAAATACTGAACCATGATGAGAGCTGAACCAGAACACTGTGATTACTGAGATGAATGCTACGTGCGCAACAGATAAATAGTGCGAAATATTCAAAAGCCAATCTTCTGTTCCTGTTCATTGTTTGCTTGGTTTTGCTTGTTTCTTTTTCCTTTTATAGTAATTATCGTGCAAAGTGTAACTTTCTGTTTATATGCCCGCGTGCAAGGAGAACTGAAACAGAGTCAAAAGGTAAACATTCCAAACACAAATGACGGAAAATGTTCACAAAGGCAAAAATGTTTCCATAGTTGTGCTTGCTGTCGCTTTGTGACCTTGTGTTCCTAACAGCAGCCTTTTCCTTTTCTCTCCAGCACGCCAAAAACTTTTGGGCGTTGGAAAAGTTTTGCCATAAGTCTAAGCGAGTGAGTGTTAGGTCAGAAAAATTAGATCCATTTAGCTAGAGCCAAAAACGTCCTGAATTTCTCTAGCGAGTGTTTGTTATACCGGCTTATACCGGCACATACTGTCATGCATGAAACTGAACTGATTCGTTTATTTTTAAGATGACCCACTAAGATTGAAAAAAAAAAAAAAGAAAAAGTGATTGTACATGTATGTTTTGAATTTTGCGATAACGCTGTGATAAGGCCTAGGCTGTTGGGGCGTGTTGGTTGTTTACAAAAAGGTCAAACATAAAAGTTTGTTTTCCATGCTCGGTGAAAGGTTGAGTAAAGCAACGTTAAAAATTTGGTATTAATGATGACTTGTATTTCCTTTTTTTCTTGCAATAGAGTTTCTCGTTCAGGCAGCCACAAACTTTGAGCTGTGACCTGAAAACGTGGTTTCTTCAACCCTTTTTTCACGTTATCACTTGTAGGAACGATCTCGAAAACTGGCCTAAACCAGATAGATATTAAGAATCTGCTACAAGATAATTGGAGCGATTTTTGCAATCACCAAGAGAATATGACTACATATACGAACTCTGGCCGTTACGTTAAGTAAACGGGCGGTTTCTATAAGAATGCAAGATATTCAGCTTCCATTAAATAATTCTAAAAGCTAAAAGGAAAGTTAATTTAAATGATAAAAAAATACCTCCGAACCGTGTGCTTTCACATGCTACATTTTCTTTACTTGTACTTGCTCTTGGCTTTTTTGAAAATTTCAGCCAGAAAAAAAAAGGCTCCCGAAAATTCTAGGTGGTCTTTTTAGGGTAAAACCGTTGAAAATGGGGAATTATACCATTTTGTAGATTTTTGAAAATCCTAGCAGAGGCAGGCAAACAAGAAATTTTACAACAAATGTTCCGAAAATTGTAGATCTCAAATCGTCTTCCGAACAGATATTTTCCGAAAATTGACGTCGGGTGCCCCTGTTTAATTAAGAGAAGTTTAAAAATCTTTGAAAGTTTTTTTTTTTTCTTTTTTTGGATGAAGTTTAAGATAAACTTGAAATTACTATCTTTGATGATGTAACACTATGATAAATGTAGACATTTCTACTGAGGTTGTGATTATATTAGGTCACTGATTGAATCATCTCAAACTTACAGACTCAATTGATGTTAATCATTTTCTGACTAATTTTGGGGGTTAAGTTATTTTTATTTGGATCAAGTTCAATTGGAGTTTAAAGCTAATCAAGACCGAGAGAAAATCAAAGGATCAATTCTCTATAATAAACTTTTTCAGAGTGATCTCATAAGTAGAAATGTATCTTTTTATTCTTCGATCTTGTTTTCACATGTATGAATTATAAGCCACCGGTCTCGTAATCAAAATATTTCTTTACCACTGTCCCATTCTGTTTCACTTCAGTGACCTGCTTAGCCGCCATCTATTGATATAATATTCTGTTGAAACAATGGAAACTGTGCCTTAATTTTTATGTACTTATTCAACTTTCTTGAGTGAGACCCCAATGCTACCTGGGTTAATCAGATGCAAGCAATGCATCGGATATGCATAACGATGTAACTTAAAAATGATTTGAAAGCGCCTCATTGAATATAAATAACTATGCTTATTGGTGCTTGAGATTGTATTTTGCTATCTTAGGTGTTGGCAAGAGAAGTTTGTGGTGCGCTGGTTTTACTGATCCGCCCAAACCATCCGGGTGGTATCGCAAATATATAGGGAACAGAATAATAGAGGAGATGTCAGCCAATCAGAAAATAATGACGTCACTAGAACTGATAAAACTGATTGGAAAATACCGATTCTTTTATCTTTAATTAGTTTGTTCGCTGTTGTGATTTGAAATGGCAAAGGGAATTACCTTTGAATGAAACTTTTGCTGGCCCTCTCGTAAAATTGAAACTTTTTTTAAGAAATAGAAAGAAAGAGAAAGTTAGGGCATTCTGGTTATCGATGCTGGCATTGCCATATTCATTAAACAGCGAAATTTACATCGATCTGTCTTAACTTTGCGACATATAATATATCTCATCCTTCCTTGTTTTGGCGAAGCAAGTAAACTGCATTAATTCTTTTAAAGAACTAATCGGATGAACCGAAGCTAACCGATAAACTGTGAACATCAAATCAGAATAGAAGAAACTAAAATCAACTACTGTCTTAGCGGCCGACAGGTTCATTTATAGTTTACTAGAACGTTAGGGCGTAAACAGAACGACAAAAACTGTAGTGTACACAAAGACTACTTTTCATTTAACCACTGATTCTAAGCTAGAGAAGAGAAACGACGTGTAAACGACGAATTTAAACAACGAGCTAACAACGCAAAAATTTGGCATTGGTTGTCGCCAAACCAAAATTGATTCATAGTGTGTTTATGTTTTTTGTGCGAGTTTGTTTTTACATAAAAACAAAACTTTGAACGTGAGTAATTACACCCTTTGTTTTAGACAAAAGCTAGAAATGCAAATTGTTATTGTGGTTGTGGAAACCATTGTTGGTTAGTTGTGGTCGGTGGTGAACTTAAAACAAGATTTACTATATATTATTTCGTATTGTTTACTCGTTATTTTTCAAAACGGTCAACGAGAATAGAAGTTCTTTAAATTAATGCCCCTGCTTCAGCATTGTTTTACAGCCGATGCAAAGTTTCGCACATCCTTTCGAACTATTGCCATTAGCATTGTGACATGTCGCCGACCGTACATTTTCTTTCTTTTTGATTTTAGCTCAACATTGTCTCGTCTTTCTTCTTTTAAAAGGTAGCTCGAGCAAAGGCATTCGACGCACGTCAATAGACCTTTCCCGCTTGGCTGACTTCCGAATGCTCACCGAGATATTCCCGTCACGAGTTGGTTTAATTATTGGCTTGCATTAAACCTATGAAAAAATGATATTTTTGTAATAGTGAGTAGACTTAGTGTGTAGCACTTCTTGATTTTTTTGCAAAGACACAGGAAGCACGAGAATTGATTAAAAATTGTTAGTTAAACCTCTATGTATCACGCGATGGCCTGTCTCACTGTACCAAATTTATAATATCTCGGTGAGCATTCGGAAGTCAGCCAAGCGCGGTCATTGCACGCGTGCTGAACAAAAATGCTGTATAATGACTGACTAGAAACAATAGACAACTCCCAAAGCACAAACTCAGCCAAAACGCTAAAAATCTTCAATGTTTACTCAAGTTTGGGCTTATAGAAGATAATGTCACAGTTTTTCAATGACCATGAAATTCAGAGTCCGGGTAGTTAGTTAATCAATTGTGGCCCTGAAAAAAATTGAAGGAAAAAAAACTACGATTTTTTAAGAAAATGCTTTTTTCGTGAGAAGGACTCTCAAACGCTGACAAACGTCAACAAATAGCGAAAACTATAATTTCTATATGTTTGCTTTGCTCGAAATCGCGCGCATTTACAAGGCCCTAGCTAAAGCGTTTTGCTGACTTGCAAGGACCCATCTGTTATAACGATGCCCAAAATAAGGAGATGAATCTCATAGTTTATTAGATATAATCCGTGTAAAGTTTGCTTATCATTTTCGCATAAATTATGACCTAAATTTGGAAACCGCTGAATTTCTCGAATTGGGTCTTTGCGATTTTGGTGAAACTCTGTTCAGCGCAAGGCACTAATGCGTACTACGTGTAGCCGAGAGATTTTCACGAAAAAATGCCGGCAACAGCCGATTTTCGACTCAGACCTCAAAGGGGCGTGGCATTATAACCACGTGACATTTACTCCGATCGCCAAAAATTTTATGTTATATTGTAGATTGATCTATATGGTATCCATTCTATGTGTTAGACTTACGATAAAAGTAAAGGTGGGGATACCAGAGAGCTTCAAAGTAGGATGGTACCCTCCCAGAAAAACTGGGTCGAGTCACCTTAAGGTCCAATTCTCCTCCCAGAGCCCGTCGTTTCTTGGTCACGTGGTCTTGAAACGAGGGGCTCTGGAAGCAGCCGTTACCGGATGTCTATAAATTGTGGACATCCGGTCACGCATGTGCAGAAGTTACAAATATCACTGCTCATGGTCATAACGGATTTTTGTCCCTCACCGCTCTACTGGGGGAACAATTTTACTTCCTGAGCTCTCTGCAGAAAGTGGCTTCTTTGGGCTGTTTTGAAAATACAGACTTCACGCAACTAGGATTCATTGATAATTTAGAGTCAAAAGGAGAAGACATTAAAAAAACAGCTGAAGACACTGTTGGGTTGCAGAACGGAGACAATTAATCGGCAGATTATCGTCTGAATTTAATATGTGAGTCCACGTTTGGCGAAAACAAACACTGGGAAAGCAAGATCGCGGAGATCAAAGGTATCTTGTTCCATGTCCTACAAATGCTATCTTCAATATTACAAAACGTCTTTTGAAACGAAACAATTCATGTGATGTGTTATTAAAGTGGACAGGAAAAAAAATGCGTATATTCGTTTCACTCTACCTAGTTGTGTTTTTTCCAATGTTTATTTCGTTTGAGGTGTCGAATGGTAGGTTTTAATTTTGCCCATGAGCATTTGTGTACAACCGAAGACAAGACAACCGAAGGTTTGCGTCAAAACAAATAAATATTAATCATGTTGCTGTCCCAAACAGGGTAAAAAACAG